CACACACACACACACACAAAGTCCAGTCCAGCGCGCCACCACGAGAGAGATGAATGCCAGTTAAAATGGTTTGCATAATGCTGGGCACATGCAGAGGGGGCAATGGAATAGCTGCTCCCATTAACAAAGCTATAAAACATGGCCCCACTGACAGAGGGACTTAGTTGAGCATTATATTATGATTAGTCAATGATACTAAAACTCTGGGAGAGAAATGGCAGCGGTCTCTGATGGTACAAACGGAGAGAAGGAGGGAGGTGGGGGGGTGGGGGGGCAGTAAGTACGGGTAGACAGCAGTGAATATAGGCTCTGCTGGTTGTCTGCCTGTGTGTGTGTGTGTGTGTGTGTGTGCGCGCATGCGCGCTCTTGTTGTAAAAGGTTGCTTAGCGTACCGAGATGATGGTGAGGCCCGGGCTCTGTGGGAAGAACCACCAGCGGGGAGTTAGGGTCTTGGGTGAGCGACCCCAAGACGGGCTGCAGAGGGCCGGGCAGACCTGGTGGGAAGCCGGGGCTCATTCCCACGTGGCTCAGACCTGGAACAAAGATAACACAGTCAAACGAGAGCAACATTTAAATACTTATTTTACTACTCCAAAAAGATAATTGTGTGCTGCGTACCGGGTGAAACCAGGGATACACCCATCAAACACGAGTAAGAATAATGTGGAGTTGTTGTGGAGGCTTGTGCATAAAAAAAACAAACAAAAAAAAAAACAACCATTTTCAACCTTCATCTGGGTTTGACTCCACATTATTCCTTCTCCTCCCACATGTGAATACCTGAAGTTTGCTCTTTTCTACATGTTTGATTTATTTTGCTACGCTCCGTCGCTCATGGGTGTAAAGCAACTGCTATTCAGCATTCAGCCCAGAGTTTTTATATTTACTGTTATAAACACTTTCTAAAGAAAATGTTACCAAGACATAAATAAAAGATTTCTGTATTCAGTATTATTAACAATAGCACCATGGGCGAACAAAAGAAACACAGAAAAACAGAGTAAAAAAGAATCATCAATATGAAATCCAAGGAAGGATGGATTGACGTGATCTCAACAAAACAGCAAAAACACTGATCTTCACTAAAACACATGAAATGCAGATGATTGACGATAGAGACCACGCCGTGTGGAGTCTACTCACTGTACGAGTGCCCCATCCAGAGGGAGGGACTTCCTGTCCTCTGCATCCAGTGGTGGTGGGCTGGGTGAGCGTGTGCAGCAGGGTCCGCCCCTAGCTGGTTGGCTCCTCCGGGGACCAAGAGGTGAGAGGTCAGGTCACCGTGGCAACTACTGGAAGGGTGGATCCTGGCGAACTCCACCCGATCCTTGTTTTCCCTGTTGTGGCGGTAGGCGGGGTGAACTTTGTCATTATCATGATTATCCCTCTTATTGTCATCATCATCACCATCATTATGATCATTATCTTCATCCTTGTCATCTTCATTACCACTACTACCATTATAATCACGGAGAAAATGAAATGTGACAGCAACAGGAACAGCCATCATCTTGTGCCTAGTCTATGAGTTCTCATTATATGTTTTCTTCCCTTAATATGACTACATAATAAGAGCCTGATACTTCAGAGACATTCATATTAGTCCCCGTAACATTAATGCACCACATCTCATCTCAGAGAAAGAGAGAGAGAGAGAGGGGAAGAGAGAGAGTGAAGGGGTACAGAAATACCACATCAAAGAGTGAGAGGAGTAAATGGAGTGAGGGGATGAAAGAAAAGAGAAGCAGAGCCTCAGACTGGGAGAGAGAGAATGAAGGAACTGCAGCTTATCAGATGAGAGCAAAAATGAATAGATGCTACCGTGTGCCGTGCACGCGTGTGACTGTGAGTGTATGCTCGTATGTGTTGGTGTTTGTGAAATTCAAGTGCACCTGATGATTATTTCTCTGTCTCTGTCCAGGTGATGGAGGCTGATCTGCTCCTCGGTCATCCTCTTCCTCTCCTCTGCCTCCCGGCCAAGAGGATACACGGGGCGTGAAACCCCTGAGTTGCAAGTACAACAGTGCTACTAGTTACTATCATTCGCCAATCAAAAAAATATCATTGGATGACAACATTTCAAACACCCCTACTTCTGAAACAGCTTCTGTTTTTCTCTTCCTTTAAAGTGAAAGTCTGCCCAGATACAGGTTGTACACATAATATCACGTTTTGATGTTCATCGCACTTTTCTTGTGCTTGTACTTTTCTTGCATATATACCTACTTCCCCTCAACGTGCCTCATACATTTCTATGACTGGAGGTGAAGTCCTTTGACAAGCACTGCCCCATCTCTGCCTCTGTACAAAGAATTTCTCCCTGAACGACTCGACAGAAGCTGTCCTGAGTAAAATGTCATAAAGATCATGAAATGTAAGATACTGTACAACACCAATAGCTGTTCTCGGGTGTTAAACTGTGTATTTTTTCCCATAATGCACTTTATAGGACAGAAATACTATTAATTGACTTTCAGTGCAAGGAGGATAAAGGTCTGACCTTTCATGCTGGGCAGCACCCTGCCCTGTCTGCTGTGTCCAGGGGTGTTGTCTGGGGAACGGTGGGGTGGCCGGGCTACCGCAACGGCAATACCGACCGGAGGCTGTCGCACCTCCCCCTCTCCTGTGTCCCCCGCCTCCTTCCCGCCTCTGTCGCCCCTCTCTCCCTCGTTAGTGGATCCTCGGCGAGGAGGGAGCGACTGTTTCTGAGGGTCTTGCAGGGAGGTGTTGCTCTTAGCTCCTCCTCTGTCCCCCTTCTCTGATCTCTCTCCACCCTGCTTGAGACAGCCCAGACCCCCAAAGGGGCTCCGCTGTGGCAGCATCAGTGGCTGCTGGGAGCTGTAGTTCATGAGGTTCTTCATGGCACTGCCCTCACCCTCAGTGGTGTGCGATGAGGAGCGGGATAGAGGTGGAGGCTGTTGAGAATGGGGCTGGTTGTGGTCACTATTTGGAGCTCTGCTGCTGAGCCCTCTTACTTCATCATTACCAACCGATGTATGATGGGAGCCTTTTCGCTGGTCCTCTTGGTGGCCCCCTCGAACCCCCCAGGAAGGTGCTGCCTGACCTCCATCTCTTCCCCTCTCTTCTGTACTAGCTCCATGGCTGCTGTGCTGCTGGTGCCTTATCCGTGCAACCTTTTGCCCCTCCCTCTGAGCCCCTGATCCCACCCTCCCATCAGGATGAGGACCCGAGTGGGAACAGTCCCTGAAGGGAGGAGTGCTGGTATCGCCGCCATTCTTGGATGTGCCGTGTGTCCCCTGGGCATCTAGTGGGAGTGAGGGCCGGTAAACATCGTCCACAACCTCGACATCTCTGAAGGATGAAGATCTTTCCAGGCTGCAGGACCGCAGCTCAGGCTGAGAGCTCATGTTGGAGCTGGGTTTGTGGAAGTTCTGCGTCTGGTGGCTCCAGTCAGGAGGTTTGTCAGCTTTGCCATATCCCAGCTGCTGCTGGTGTGGCTGCGATTTGTCCTTCTTCTGACAACTGCTAAGTCGGCTGAGATGATGAGAGGGACTTTCATACGATCCTTCTCCACTCTTATCATCTCCCTTTCTCCCACCTCCTCCTGCTCCACGACAGTCAGGGGCTGCCAGGTCTCCCAGTGGCCCAACTGAGGGCACATACGTTGGGCCAATGACTTTCGCCTCCCTGCCAGACCCTCCAGGGGTGGATGCGGGATCTTTGGAAGGCGTCAGTGTAAGAGGGGCTGGGGAACAGTAAAACTCTGGATGAGGATGGTGATGTGCGTGGTGTATCCACCCTCCTGTGACTGTGGAGCCCATGTGCAAGGCATGAGGCGGAGGTGGCGGAGGGGGAGGGGGAGGCGGCATCGAGTAGGAGGCCACAGAGTGGGGGGTCGGAGGTGCCAGCATGGCCGTCGCTGCAGCCGTCCCTCGTCTCATACATTCAGAGGAGGAAGTTGAAGATTCACTGATCCTCATCTCCCCGTTTATGGGTCCATCCTTGGAGCACCGCCTGCCACCTCCAGATGGAGGTCTGGCCACCCCACCACCGCTGCAGCTGCTCAGTGCTCCTCCTTTTCCTCCAGAGCCAGTGTCTGGCCCCGAACCACTGGACAGTTTACAGGCGGTCATATGTTTTGTCCCCTGACTGCCCGAGTCACCGTCTCTGTACTCCTTGTGTCGCTCCAGAGAATGTCTATGGTCCTCCTCCCTGCCCTGGGGTGTGAGGTGAGGAAGGAGGGCGTGATGAGGGTGGGAGTAAGCTTGGTGGTGGTAACTGGATGGAGTGGTGGCAGGATTCATCTGATGAGGATGGTGATGGTGGAGCTGATGCTGTTTGTCTTTGCTCTCCTGGTGCCGCTCCTTGCTGCTCGATCGCTCCTTGTCCTTCGACACAGATGAAACGCCTTTCTCACCCGCATCCTTGGTGCTCTTCCCGCCTCCTCCCCCATTGTCCGTCTCCCGGCTGCAAGAGCCAAGTGGGTGGCCTGGGGCAGTCCTGGACAACGGGGGAAGGCTGTGATTGGTGGAGAGCAGAGGGGGCTGAGGAGGAAGGCCTCTCAGGTAGAAGTGATCTGGGAGGAGAAGAGACGACTTCAAATGAATCACTAAAGCTAAAGGCTTGTAGAGATCTAGAGAGATTTGAATGTTAGCTGCAAAGTGGCTAAAAACACCTCTTTTCATAAAGTTTTATTAAAATTACTTCATTAAAATGTGCTTCTGCAGAGATATCTGCAGAAAAAGAAACCAAAAACTGCCAGCTAGAAAAAGTTACCGGTTCTCACTCCTGTGGTGACTGCTGATTAAGCATTTTGAGGAAGCATATATAAAGCTATTTTTCTCTGTTACATGCACACACACACACACACACACACACACACATACACACACCTACCTTTTTGAGTTTCATAGAAGCGGTGCTGTCCGTAGAGACCGTTGCTATGGTGATCCAGGGGACTCATGGGGAGAAAAGGAGAGGCAAGACTTCCTGAATAGCTGGGGTACCCTGTCAGAGGGAGGGAGAGCGAAAAAAGAATTGATGTTTCTCCGCAACGCTGACATTCAGCAGCCCTCTAAACAAACAGTTTATCTCTACAATCTATCATGAGATGGGGCCATTTTGGAAAACACAGAAAAAATATGGCCGGTTAGTGCTACTTTCACCATAAATGCACTTTTGCACAAACATGCCACAGGAGTTGACATTATTTACAGTGGACAAAGTGGTGACAAAAACCACAGCCGACAGCTACTGCCAAGTGTTTGCAGCATTTAACTGGATGGAATTTGCTCTTCTACAAAACACATTTTTCCCAAACCCAAGACAAATAGTATGCAGAATCGCACACACACACACACACACACACACACACACACACACACACACACACACACACGCACAGTCCTCCCAGGAGGTCACTGGGAGGTAAACGGTCGTTCCACTCTGCTCCTCGTCTTCAAGGACGTTGAACTGCATCGTGGGATAGGGGAGGTCTTGGTGGTTATGTTGATGGGGGGCCGGAAGGGTGTAGGGATGGGTGAGGGTCAGTGTGGGTGTGTATGTGCGCAGGGATGTCATGGTGGTTGAGAGTGGGTAGTATTGGGGTAAAAAAAAACTAAAAAAAAACTGCAAAATCACCACAGGCCCGTGCACACACACACACACACACACACACACACACACACACACACACAAGCTCAGTACACAAACACATATCACGGGGCCAAAAGGCTTGGATTGTGTGTGTGTGTGTGTGTGGAAGTGTGTGTGTTCTCCAGCAGCTGGTTTCATGCCCCACAGAGTGTCCTTGCCGGCCCGTTAATTGGCAGCCGTTAAAAGTTTAACGGTGGTGGCCAAAGTAAACAGCACTCCATAAAAACTCATCCTACGCATTCCACAGTCGCACTGCAAAACCACCAACACCCCCTCACTGCTCCCAGCGTGTGTGTGTGTGTGGGACTCAGTGTGTCTGCGTGTTCATGCTGCAATGTCAATGCATAAACGCATGTGTGTGCGTCTGTGTATGAGTGTGTGTGATTACTCTGACTGGTTAACAACCAGTGAATCTAAATGGCGACAATTAGCCAAAAGGCTCTATCAGCCATCTAAAGCCAATCCCCTGGGTAATGATGAGTGATAAAACTCAGGAGGGAGGGGGGGGAGGGGGAGCGAGGGAGGCGAGATGAGACGGAAGAAGACAGGAACAAAGACAGCAGAGGGACACAGTGACAAAAAAGGAGGGAAGGAGGAAAGGGAAGAAGGGATAGAGGAGGTTAGAATATACAGCAGAGAGAGAGAAAAAGTAAAGGAGACACCAGAAGAACAGGGCTGTCAATATGAAAAGCCCCCAATCTGGTGCTGCTGTGAGGCGTATGAAGAGGGGAGAGGGGAGAGTATGTGTGTGTGTGTGTGTGTGTGAGTGTGAGGGGGGGTGGGGGGGGGGGGTGGAAGATGAAGGAGGAAGTGAAAGGGAAGTGAAGAGCTTTGAGATGGCGGAGATGAGAGGACAGAGGAAAGGGAGGTAAGGAGAGGAGCGAGAGCACATGAGAGAGGAGACAAAAAACAAGGACAGGTGTGGAAGAGGCAGAGCGGGCGAGCGAGTGAGAGGAGAGGTGTGTGTGTGTGTGTGAGTGTGTGTGTGCGTGAGAGAGAGAGAGAGAAAAAGATATTTTTTGTGTGTGAAAGAGAATATGTGCTGTTTTTCAAACAACTGTGCATTTCTTCGTGAATATGTCTCATCTTTTGACTATGTGTGTGTCTACAGTGTGTGTGTGTGTGTGTGTGTGTGTGTGTATTAGCCAGGTTTCTTCTCTCTGTGCTGGCTACGCTCCACTCTCTGGACCGTGGCCAGCTGGCAGACCGCCTACCGGAGCTCCCTGGCTTTAATTCTTAAAAACAATCATTTGTAGTGTGTGTGGGCGCGTGTTTGTGCATGTGAGTGTGTGCGCGCGCACGCGTACGTGTGTGTTCAGACATCAAAGCTGAGCCACACAGACACAAAATCTGTCTGATAGGCACACACATTCTCCCTCCACACACACACACACGCACGCACACGCACACGCACACGCACACACACACACACACACATTCTTGCTCTCGTTTCACCACAGCTGCTCTCTCTTGTGTTCACGTTGAAGTCCTGCCTCTGACTCTTTCTATGAATCTGATTTAAGAGAGTCACCCCAGGCGACATTAGTGCTCATTTTCAGGGCTTAACTGTAGCTATTTATCGCTCGATGAGCTGCAAATGGGCAGTTGTACAAACAAAACTTTTGTCTCCTTTCAAGCTTTAAAGCTGCATCAGGAGAGATTTCGGCGTAGGAACGCAGCTCTCATGAGCTCGTCTTCGGGCTGCAGCGGAGAAGTATCCTGTCTCCATGAGTGAGAGGCAGCGTGTTTGACTTATTTGCCCAAATTAAACTCTGGCGTGTACGCTTCCTCACAAGCAGGATGTGACAAATTAAAACTTAAAGGATGGAAATGCAAACAGCAGCTTTCTCCAGCGAAAGATAGACTCGACATTTTTTGCCTCTCTTGCTCTTCTGGTACAAAACAATTAAAGATTTATACAAAAAGAAATGACCTCTAAAATCAGAGGGATTTTTTCGATTGCATCCAAAAACTTTGCACCAAACATTGAACTCATGCTGTGAAATTAGGCAGAAGAGCCCCCTTTTTTTGCAGCAGGCATTTCGAACATGTCATAGCAGGAAAAGCATAAATGATGTCTCAGTCCAAGTGTCCCTCTAAGTCATGCCTGTGAGTCAGCATGCACAGCAGCAGGATGCTGGAGCTGGCTCACCTAAAAGGAATGCAATCGTTATTATTCTAATTGATTAAGCCTGTGCTTTTCCTGACATGACATGTCAAAATGCAGCGGAGGAGGGAGGACTGTTATTGCAGTGGTCACACAGCTGGTTGTATGCAATGCACCGAAAGTTGACTGGTTTCCATTTGATTCCTCAGCAACAATGTTTAGGGACTTAAAATACTTTTCCCAAGGCGTTGTTGTTGACTCGCTCACATTTGGTGAAAAACTGGTGAAATGTGAAATTCGGACCGTTTTCAGTTAGTTGAGAAATTCAGCCTGTGGCGGAAGCTGTCTTTCTGTTCAGGAGGTTATCTTTCTAGACCCATCTTACTGTCAAAAGAGAAATCCTCTCTCTCACACACACACACACACACACACACACACACACACTGACACAGGCAGACACAGACAGAAACACATACACATCAATACCTGAAAGGGACAGATAACTAAGTCAAGCCCAAGTCTTTGACCACAAACGGTTAACAGTCGAAAGAGGACATGATGCATGTGGATGCGCACATTTTTGTGAGCGTGTGTGTGTCTGATCAGGAAGGGGGCCGTTGGAGGTCGGTTAACCCAGAAGGGGCCCTGAGGGTGGGGCTGCGGTCAGAGGGGGAGGGGACTGTGAAGCAGGAGAGGATGGTGGAAATGGGGGTAAGTTGTCAGTGTGTGTCTGTGTGAAGGGAGGTGCTTGTGAAACTTAAAACTCATCCCTAAAAGAGTAAAAAGGGGGAGTGAGAGTTGACTGAGTGAAAGGAGGGAAGAAAATGCAGGAGCCTGAAGTGTACTGTGGAATTACTGCCAATTATGACGTTATTCTTAAACTGCATCAAGGCGTGTGTTTGTTTGTGCGTCTGTGTGTTTGTTTGTGTATTTATGGGTCGGGGCAAGAGGAAGAGGAAGGCTTTGGTCTTGCACCAGTTTTAAGAGCGTCATGGTGCTTGAGCTCACAACTAGAAAACAGCCACAAACACAAAGCCACATGCTCACTGACATACACAGCCACCAGAAGATGTGTGTGTGTGTGTGTGTGTGTGTGTGTGTGTGTGTGTATGTGTGTGTGTTTCTATAAGTAGCATCATCTGAGGCGTCACTACAGCGTGTGTTTGGTTTCAGCTCAGTGTTGGTTAAACCACTTAATGGCTCCATCTTGTTCTAATCCCAAACCAAGACCCTGGATTAACCAGAGACCCAAGCACTCTGGGCTGCTTCCTCTTTCTGTGTGTGTGTGTGTGTGTGTGTGTGTGTGTGTGTGTCTGTCTTACCTTCATGCGAATGGGGGAACCAAATAGGGGAAGCGCTCGAATGGGGTCCAGCCCTATAGGAGGGGGAGGAGGGGGAGGCAGCAGGTCCAGAGGGGTGAGGAGGGTGGGAAGGCGGGGACCCCAGACTGCTGGCCAGGAAGGATCCCATGAAGGAAGCACCTGTGCGACACAGAGAGAGGCTGGAGGTTAGAGAGGTGCTCGCTGATTAAATTTGTCCGCGGGTGAGCAGGAGGTGGGGATGAGTCTGCTGAGGTGCCAATGAGCAAGCAACACCACAGAAGAAGAAATGAGAAGCTCCAAAGTATAAACTGAGAAAAAGCAGATGTGCACCCAACCTGCCTGAGCAGTTAAAAAAAAAAAATGTGCAAATGACAAGTGTTTCATGCTTTCTTCCCTTCTGTGCATCTTTACAAAGAAACTCCTCAGTTTTTCACACTTATTTGATGGGGCTCCGTGCACACGTCTGCCTCGACGAGGTCTGCATGAGTCACTTGTTGCTTGCGAGCAACGTGGCGAACGTGGCACCGGACACGGTAAATTTTCATCTTTGAAATATAAAACATAGCGGTGAAACATATTTCCCCCTCAACATTACGACAAGAGACAAAATATTGTTTTAATGTCACTCAAAAAAAAATAACATTTTCAGATCCCAGCAGGAGTTTGAGGCTTGAGTTTTTCTCCTGTTAGATGTTAGTAAAAAAAAAAAGTGAGACACGGCAGATCTGGCTGGTATTAATATTACTGAGTAGTGCTGTGAAAAATGAAATTTCGTGACCTGCCCTAGAGAAATTAATCCCTCCAAGCTACATTCACACTGCAGCTGGAAGTGTCCCAATTCTGATCATTTTTTCTCCTCACATGTGACATACATATCCGATTTTTTTCTCTTAAACTTATGATCCAGAAAAAGCTTCAAGGAGACAGTTTTTTTCCCTCAATTCTGATCTGAATATATATATAAACCGAGGCCTGAGGCATCTGACTGACTGGTGTTTGAACACTCACATAACAATTTGTCACTGTTGATAATTGTCACTTGAGACAGTTGATTTATTTTGGTGCCTTAGTCAGCGTTAGCTTCAGATGCTAACCATAATGGCTGAAGGTTTTAGCTGTAATTCTTAAAGAGGAAACTTAGAAGAGGTCACACAACTTGAAGTTGAGGTTTTGCCAATTTCAGTTTTATTTCAGGACTGTTTTGGGTCTGAACTCCCGCTCAGATCTGTCTGCTCACCTCACAGGTCAAATGGTCCGGAATCAGATTTTGCTGGTTCTGACTTTACTGACAAAGATGTCGGCAAACTGAACTCCAAACAGATGTAACATCCAGGTTTTCTACAGTTCACGACCAGCTTGATGGCGGTAAGACAGAACCATGGACAGGAAGCTAAGCAGCGAACATGACAGTTGAAATCTTCAGTTCAGCTGAAACTCGAAACTGACGCGTTTGAAACAACATGGCTCTTATCATTGATTCTTCTATTGATTACATCCTGCTGAAGATTCGACCAATCATTTTGAAGAATTCATTGGAGTAAAAACCTAGTTTCGCCTCGTAGACAGGAACGAGAGGAAGCTTTACTTGTTCAATTTCATCCTGTGACGGTTCCAGCGAACTGAGCGAAGAGGCTCAGTTCAGTTTGGCTCCGTTTGAATGTATCTCCACTTATCAGCATGCTCTCATTTAGTGGAACAACCCGAACAGTTGTAGGGGAAGGAGGAAACATATCCACAGGGAATCAGGTAATTAGTCACTGGATAGAGAGAGAGAGAGAGAGAGAGAGAGAGAGAGAGAGAGAGAGAAAGAGAGAGAGAGGTGGTGGGTTGGGTCGTTACCCATAAATGCTGCCTCGCATCAGAGACAATTACCACAACCACAACAGTCCGCATCTGAGTCACACACACACACACGCGCGCGCACACGCACGCACACACACACACAGAGCACCCGCACCTCAACCATGACCTGACGCCCTAACAACCACAACCACAAGAGCCTCCAACTGTCTGCCTGTCTCTCTCTCTCGCACACACACACAGACACAGACACAGACACACAGACACACACACAGACACACACANTCGCATCAGAGACAATTACCACAACCACAACAGTCCGCATCTGAGTCACACACACACACACGCGCGCGCACACGCACGCACACACACACACAGAGCACCCGCACCTCAACCATGACCTGACGCCCTAACAACCACAACCACAAGAGCCTCCAACTGTCTGCCTGTCTCTCTCTCTCGCACACACACACAGACACAGACACAGACACACACAGACAGACACACAGACACACACACAGACACACACAGACACACACACACACACAGACACACACACGAGAGAGGGCAGGGGATAAACCAGGAGAGAGATGGAGCAGCGGTGTGTATTCAGAGACACGTTAGAAATCACACGTGTGTCTATTTATACAATTGGATCTGAAGCATTTACATACACACACACACACACACACACACACACGGATAAGGACAAACCACACACTGTACCGAGACAATTAAACGTAGAAATCCCTCCATCTTTTGCACTTGATATTTTCACTTTTTCTGAAAAAAGACTTACTTATTTATTTACTCACTCACTCACTCACTCTCTCTCTCTCTCTCTCTCTCTCTCTCTCTCTCTCAGACAGGATATTTTCACAGTGTTTTTTTCATTTTCTTTTTCTTTTTTCTCCAAATCCCCTCTTGTACAACTGTAGATCAGTGGCCTTTCAGCCAGTCATAATAAAACACAGCTCGTATAAGACTCAGGCTGGTTTCACAAGGCCCCCTGGCAGTGCAGACTCTCTCTCACACACACACACACAGACACAGACAGACAGACGCACACACACACACACACACACACAGGTAGACACAGGTCAAATAGAGACTGATACACACACTGTACCTCATCTACTAGAGCAGACAATAGAAAAGAAAGCGGTTTTCAGCTGAGCAGCCATGCATCTCTGAAATTACAGGCAGCATCCTGAAGTGTCTCCGACAGCCACGAAAGTTAACTTCTATTAAAAAAGACATTTTAAAAAATACACACACTGATTTCTAAAAGTAGGGATACTGATTGGTAAGTTAAGTGGTGTAAATACTTTGCACTCCTTTAATCTCTCATCCTCTCAGATCTCCACCCATCCCCCCCTTTTCCCATCTTTTTCCATTTACTCATCTCTTTCCTTTTTCTCCTCTTCTTTCCCCCCATTCCCTCTCTTTCCTGTCACCTCCCTCCCTCCCTCCCTGTCTGTTTTGTGTTGGCGAGTTGAGGAGAAAATCATATTTGCCCGCTCCCTCTGGCCTGCTGATATGGAAAATCATCTCGGAGGCCAGCCACTAACGTAAACCTTATTTCTGTCCCTGTTTTTTTTTTTCCTCCTCCCCTTCTTCTCTTCCTGCCCTCTGCTCCCACCTTTGTTTTATCCTGATCTGCACATTCCCTGCACATCTGTCACCGCTGCATCCTCTCGTAGTTTCCCGTACAGCTCTGAGCAGAGACACACCGGGCGATGACTGCGAGCTCGTCAAATTAGCCACAACTGATGAGGAATATCAGACAAAGAGGGAGCGAGACAAAACAGAGGCATGGCAAACATTACACAAACTCTACGCCTCAGCGAGTTTGATTGATCAACCACAGATATTTATCTACATCAAAAATCCGGCTCTGACCAAAGTCACATCATCGTTATACACAGCACATTACTATATCTGCATATGTTATTTACTATAAATACAAGCTGCTGACTGAGAAAGCAGCTCCATTCAGTCTCTGTAGTGGTAATTAAAGTAGGAAATGTGTTCGTATGCCTCCCATTTTTCCCAGTTGGCATCATGAATTGGAAAAGTGTGTCAACACACAGGCAGAGAATCCTCCGATGTTGACTATCCAAGGTAATAAAAATCAGAATTATGAGTTTCTATTCATACTAATGCAGTCAGATGCACTTACAGAGAGCAAAATCTGCTTTAGTTTATTTATGATTGACTGTAATGTGATTTGCTAAGGGGAAAATCCACTCAAAAATAGTTGTTGTAACACGGTTGTATATAGAAAAAAAAAGTATTGGATGTGTTCCTTGCTTTTCTGGGCAGGTTTTGCTGCTTGGCATATTTTTGGTATTCTCATGTATAACGGGGGCCAAACATAAATTTTGAGATGTTATATTTCCAGTGCAGCCACAATGGAGTTTGATAACAGCAAAACTGAAGCTTCAACAATATAAGCATCAGGATTTGATGTCAGCACTTCAGACTTTAACAACCAGAGTTTCAGAGGCGCCATTTTACACTGATGGTTAACAGTCATACAGGGAGAAATCTATCTATAAAATAAATAAATAAAAATACTAAATACTTCACAGAAAGTAGCTTTGTAAAATTGAAAATTGTCACACTCTTGCTAGTGCGAGAGGTTGATATAAATAACACCTGTGTTGGTGTGGGACTATTTTAGGGTGGAATTTTTAAATTTAACTCCAGTGGATAAAAGTTGGCTCAAATTGTGCAACTAATGCCACATTTTTTCCATGAGTGCACTCACGTTTTTCACACCTCGCTGACACACTATGACAGTTTTAATAAGGATGGACGAATGAGATCTGCTCAAAATGCTCAGCAGTCACGTTTAGAAACAGTTAAAAGGTAAACGCTTTTAAAGCAAAATGCAAAGACAGTGTCAAATACTGAAAAGCAGCTTAAAGTGTCATGGTTATGCTTTCATCTTTACATTATAACAGAGCTGGTCTTGCATTTGCTAATTTATATACAGTATATGCATTATGGAGCCGGGGGTGGTGGCGGCGGCGGTGGTGGTGGGGGGGGGGGGGTCAGTATGAAAAAAATGACCCTGAACCCTCTTTTGTGTGTTTGACTCAGCAGCTGCTGAGGAGGAAATCTACAGTGAAACAAAACAGCGAGACCACAGATAACAGGACAGACCATCCCAAGGTCTCTCACTATTCTAACAAGAGAAAGAGAGGAGGAGGAGGAGGAAGAAGAGGAGGGAGAGGAGGAAGAAGAAGCAACACACCAATGGAGGGTAGATAGAGGTGATACAACCAATGTCACAAGGAGAAACACAGATAAAGAAACAAAGTGGTATTCTTCGCTCCAGCTCTCTGAATGCA